CGGGGGGAGGGCGAGGGGGAGGGGAGTGACTGCTGATGAATGGGGGGTGTCGTGTCGTAGTCACGGGCCAGCCCCTGCCGCCCCCGCCGCCCCCACCGCGTCTTGGAGAGTGTCGCTTTAGATGTAACTCGCAGTCAATAGCCTGACGGGGAAATGGCGCATTTCCCGTCTTGCCGTGGCCTTTAGCTGCCGCACGTCCAGGACGCCAGGGTCGGTGTCGGTACTTGAACACGCTCGTACTGCATGGAGTGGTGTGGGTGCTCGTCGGAGAATATACTTTCAGCAGCGAGGGCGCGGCCATGCTGGCGAGAAACTTAACCAGGTCGTACGTATACGCGATCGGCGCAAAGAAGAGTCATAAACACGATGCTAGCAATAGTTGGGATGGTTCTACATACATATTGTGCTCGACATAGCGTACCCAGATAAACCAAGTGGTTAACTGCAAGTTGAATACTTGCAATTGCTCAATTCCCTACTTGTGCACTTGCAAGTGTGCAACTCTTCTGTTAAACAGTATTCCTTGTATGTACATGTGTTAAACAGTTGCGCAAGTACAAGTGTTAAGCAGTTGCACACTTGATTACTCAATTATATGATGACAATTTTTCTTCCACATACATTTATTGTGCCGGATGTATCTAAGCGGATACGATGCAGAGTCACAGGATGCCGGGATAGCTAAGCCACCCTCTAATTGGGCTGGGGACGAGCCATAACGTCTAAGGGCGAGTATTGGCATGGTCGATGTCTCGTGAGTATGGATCAGTATGGATGTGCCTATTCGTGGACGACCTGCCGTCCTGAGTGCATGCGCCCCCTCCGCTAATGCTACAGCGACCATACACCCCAAAAACTGAATTCTTGGGATATCAGTACGTTTTTCGTCTACTTTATTCTCTTGAGTGCAGTGCGCTTGTTTTTTTTTTATTTGAAAAATACAAGCGTGCACTTCAAAACCTTTTGGGGAAAACTAGCTAAATAAAGAACACATTTTAGGTACACATTTCTCGTCAAAATTTAGCAAAATTTAGTTCTACGTTGCCTAAATGGGTATTTTTGTATTTTAATTTTTTGCTTCGCTCAATATTTGGAGCGACATACCCCGGAATCTGTGTTGTCTCAGCCAACGGTAGGGAGCGCGATGTCAGTCGATAAAGCTCTTAGTGTCTTAGTGGTATTATTGGACTGACGATATCCCCCCCCCCCCCGCCGCTTTTCCTCGAAGCTGGACACGTCGCACTCTTGGTGGGGCAGCGGCGTGCTACCTTCGTCAAGGCCGCCTCCTAATCCTCAGCCCGCCGTTCAGTGAAGCGGAATGAGGTCGCAATGACGCGGCCTCTGTACCGACGATGGTGGCCGTGGCCGTCCGCCCCCACAGTCCACACGCCCCGCAGCGCCCCGCCCCGCCAACGCTATGCCACGACTCACCCTCCCTCCTCCCCGCCACGCCACACATCGTCCTCGACGGGCCGGACCAGACCGCTGGGTCAGGTTGCCGCATCTAGTGGCACAATTACCCTAAGTGCGCTGTGCTCCGCTCCGCCAGGGCTGCGGCGCGTGGGGGACGGCCGTGACAGGAGTGACGTCCTCCCGGCCCTCCTCCCCCCAATTCAATTTTCACCGCTATATTATGCCCCTTAATTTTTCGCGCTGTGCGCGTTTTAATTGATGGTACGTGATGTCCGATATCCGCGCTGTGTCGGGACCGCCGCACCTGCGCCGCCAGCCGCTGCCCTGCCACCTGCGGCCGCCTCTAGCTTGCGCCACACGTGTCGTAACGACATTTAAAATCCGCGCTCGCGGTGAAACGAAAGGAAAATAAAAAGAGGAAAATGTTCCCTGGCTTGCATTTAAATAAACCGATCGCAAATATCGCTTACAGAGAGACAAGACAGCTAGTTCTGCGAGGGCAGGTCACCCCGTCCTGCCCCTGTCCCACCCACCCCCGGCGCACCCGCCCAGCCTTTTCCCGGCCCTCGCGCCCAATCCACCAATCGCTACGACGTGCGAAAGGGAAAATAAGTGAAAAGAAAATAAATAAAACTCGCACCGACTGCCAAAAGCATTCTTGGAAAACTAATCTGACGCGGAAGTTAATGCTGCGATGATGTTTGAGGCGGGAGCGCGCTGGCGCTGAGGGTTAGGGGTGGAGCGGGCGGAGCAGTAGGCGAAGGCGGGGGAGGGGGAGTGGCCCCAGTGTGAGGCAAAAGCCTTTCGCTCAGCACCCGGCAGCGACTTTTCGCGGAAGGCAGGCAGGTCGGAGCAAAGGCAGAAGCGAGCAGAAGAAATGTTCGCGAATAGTGGTGCCGTTGCTTGAGCCAGGTTGGGCGCTGAGTCCGAGGAGCACCTGCACCATTACTTAAACACTGACGCAGAATTCTAACCAATGAGACGCGAGTCGCAGTTACAATGATGTGTCACAGTTGATTTTCTATGTTTTGTTGTCCGTGTTTTGGTAGACTGTGTGTGCGCATACGATGGTTTCTTTACTTTCTTGACTCTTTGCTCTACTCTCTCATCTCCCTCTGTACCACCCTCTTTTTCTCCATTTTCTTCGTAAACGATTGTGTTAATTTCACTGTACTTCTTCTTTGAAGTTGAGTTTTGGAGCTTTCAGTAACCCCACTGTAATCACATGCATGTTTGTGTCACGCTCTACTATGCTCTACTTTTGCACTTAACACGTTGGCCAACTACTATTGCAATAATTCTTGTGTTATAATAACGTCCACAACAGACGATAATGTGAAAAAGAAGTGATAATAAAAACACTTTGAAATTAGAGTGATTATCCCTCGAAAATAATGTAAGCTGCGTGAATTGTTTTTGAACTGCAAGCACCAAATTCTGCTCAGATATCGCTGTGTGTCTGTATTTTAAAGTCTTGAACTCGTACTTTTTACCACGCACAGTACACTGTATTTGAATGGCTCCACGTTTTTCACAAAAAAAAAATTATCATGTTTAAAAAAAGCTACTAAAATGTTCTTTTTTTAATTATTGAGAAAATTTTTGTGACGTGGTGCCATGTCTTCTCGCACCGCCGCTACATGTTTCTGTGTCTGTCTGTCTCTCGGAGTGTCCACTACGCCCACAACCGCGCCACCGCCCGTGCAGCCGTCCACAGGTGAGTCCCGCGCACGCCGCATAGCCTCACGCTTTACAGCACGAAAACATATTTGAAAATCGAATCAATGATGTAAAGACTGGATCAAAATACATATTTTGTGGCGTGAAGACTTTGCTCACGCACTCAAAACTTTCAGATTTTTTTTACGTATTTAGTTTATTAAGACACTGGAAAATCAAAGGTGCTAAAGCTATTGAGCACCCTTTTTTATTGCCTTTACAAACACTCTTAATCAAGGAATGTGACGTCACATTCATTTCAATGTGAAATGTGTCACATTCGTTTGAATATTGTGTCACATTCATTTAAACGTGACTTCAGGTGAATTGATGCTCTAATGGCGCCAGGCTTGGCCGATTTACGTTTAAACGAATATGACACAACATGCAAACGAATGTGACACGATTCACATTAAAACGAATGTGACGTCACATTCGTTGAATAACAGTGAAAGTGGTACATTTAGCACCTTTGAGCCCAAGGTCGACTTTTGTGTCGGAGCTTACACACGTAGAAGTAAAATTGATAGGGTTTCCACTTCGCGATACTCCCCCATGTAAATCAGCTCACCTCCTCCACGACTGGGAGAAAACGCTCAGCTCATATGTAAGCGGTTGTTCCCAGGCCGGAATGAGCTGAGCGTTTGTCCCCAGTCGCGGAGGTGGTGAGCAGTTTAACATAGAGAGGTACCATTTTGAACAGGTGCTATATCGCGCCTTTATTTTTTGAGCGGGCGTAAAATTGTTGGGATGGTAAAAGACTCGCTTTCCTTTCATGATTCCTGTCTTTCGTTGTTATTTTGTGTGTTTGTAGAATGCAGTAGTCTTGTTTACGCCCCGCTATTCAAATCGTCCCGCTGCTTTAAGTCGCTGCCGGCACCCCACTGCCGGACCCCTTCCCCCTGCTCCCGCGTCGAGTTAGTGTCGCGGCTGCTGTCACATTTAGAGCGCCTGTGACCCTCCGTGTCGGGGTGGCGCTTCCCTGCGCTGTCCACCCTGCTGCAGCGGCAGGAAGACAGAAGCCGGACAGCAGGCGGAGAACCGGCAGACAGCGGCTGGCGAGCGCCGCTCGCCCTCTAGAAATGAATGAATCCCTGTCCACGATCACTTTCTGTTAATTTGCCTAAGAAGATAATCTGGTATCTTTGTGAGCGAAATAAGGCCGTGAAACGCACAGCGAGTATTTCGCATGTTTACCGATATTTGAAGTGTGTAAAGATGGCAAGCACTGAAGTGCACTACTGCTAGCAGTTGAACTGCTTAAATCGTTGAAGTGCTAAACGTTTTATTAATTATTGTTGCAGATGTTTCACTGGTACTCTGATAGACGTCCATAAGTTTTAACTTCCCCTTTGAACTCTTGAATTAAATTCTATTAAGCTTTCAACTTTTCAGTCCAACACTTACGAGTACCCAAATTTACAGCTCAACACCTGAGTGGATGTTAAACACGTGCAAGTGCTGGCTACTTGCACACCTCAGATACAGGGTGGGTGATCCGCTTGTCATTTTTCTCTGGTTATTACTGGGTTCTTGCGTGAAGACTGATTGCATGCTCGCACAAAGTCGTAAGGTGCCATGGTGGGCCACGGTAGGAAAATCAGGGCGGTATTGGATCTCCAAAAAGGGCTCATGATCATCTCAACAGTGCAGTGCGCGGGTGCGACTGGTTTGGTTATTGCTATTTATTTTCTCGAGGTGCCACTCCATTTGCCAATATTGAAAGGTCTTTCCGGAGATCACTCAATTAATAGTGCAAACACCGACTGCGAAGATCCTCCTCCCTATACTCACTCCTATGGAGAACAGGGGGCAGAAGAGGGGGTGCGTGGGAGAGGGTGGAGGGGGGGGGGCGGAGTTGGCAAGTCAGCGGGCGTCGTAGCGCTTGTTTGCTTTGGCCGCGTCGTGGCGTGGTGGGGAGTGGCACGGCGTGGTTGGGTGGGGCCATGCAGAGCAGACCCGCGCGCTGCCAATCCATAGTGTGTGTGCGTGTGTTTGTGTCAATGACTGGGTGCGTCTGCCTGTTTCAGACCCCATCGTGGAGTCCCGCAACGAGGCGACGAGCAGCAGCAGCAACGTCCTGGACTCCTTTCGAGAGCGAGATAAAGGTATTTTTGAGTCATTTTGTATTTTTATTGCACTACAAGTGAATAAATGTATTCGTTATTCCGCCTTACTGCGCGGGGTGACTTCTATATGGTGAAAGCGACTAGCATTCCTGACGGGGAATTTCCCGCTTCCCGGTGGAAGGATCGCGGGCGAATCACGCGCTCCGCGGCGCGCCAGGCGGCGGCACGCTGCGGAGGAAATGAAGAGTCTCGCCAACGACGCCGCCGCCAACACTCGCAAAAAAAAAGTCAGCCAGCCCACAATTTATTTTTTTAATTTCCTTTTTTTAGGGGGTGGTGGTTTTGAGATAGCGCAGGAAGGGTCGAGTCGATAAGTAGGAGTGTGACGGGCGGCCGCCACGACCACGCTATGGGTGGGTCGAGGGGGTGAAGAGAGAGGACCAATGAGATAATCCGAATATGAGACGTGTCTAGAAAGGGGAATGGGCTCTGTGTGTATGGGGGGCGGGTGCGCGTGGGAGAGCAGGTGTGCGTGCAGAGGACAATTGCCGCGTTGATTTTGCTTTCAAAACACGTTTAAACTAGAAATCTGAATTTTAAAAAATAACAAAATTTTTCAAAAAGTTAAAAGCGATCAAAGCCGAAAAAAAATACAATCTCAAGCTTTTATCTGTTCCCAGTCAATACCGCCTTTGTAGCGGCTAAAAGAACAAGCATTAGCTTTTGTAAACGCGGGAGGCGGCTTGATCTATAAAGGACGAAGGGCGGGAGGAGCGCAGCCGAGCGCGGCAGACAGCGTGGCGGGGCGGGGGCGCGGCGGCTGGGGACGCGGAGAGCGGCGCGCTGCGGAATTTGTGGGATGAACGTGTGGGGAATGTTCACGAGATTTTCCGTCACAGACTCCCCCATTTGCCGATGATTTCACTTTGCGGCGGCCTCATCAGGGGCGACAGCGGCCGCTCTGCGGGCCGACCAGACGGCCCCCTTTATACGACGGCGTGGTGCGCGGGGGAGAGGATCACCCTCACCTTGCCCGACCCTTGGCCCGGCTAGTGCTTAGGCCGCACCGGTGGAGTTGCGCCCGCCATGCCCCGCCACGCTCCGCCGCAGTCGGTACCTAGAATGAGGCCCCAGGCCGGCATTCTGCATCTGTTGCCGTCCATAAGGATGCCATTACTCACGCACAGCGCCCTCATATTGGAAGTTGGAGAGCTTCCCCTTCTCCGAGCAACCAGCCTGCCCTGACCTAATGCTCCCCAGCAGCCGCGCGCCAGCTAGTGCGCATAACGGTTCAACTACACTGATGGGAAGAGGTGGGCTGGGGGTAGGGGGTGTATCTGTGCGGACCGGAAACCTGTTGGACTGCCAACCAGCCCGTCTGCTCTGATGACCTTAAGCAAGCAGCATATTCCTGACTGACCCCATCCCCTCGCCTCGCCCCTCTCCCCTGTGCGTCCGCCATTCCCACCACACCCACACGCACGCCAACCATTGTCCGTTGGCCTTAATCACGCCCTGGACCGCAGGGAACGCCCGGCCGCGCCCCAGCAACCGTGTCCCGGAGGGGAGTGTCAATTAACTCATACGGCCCGCCGGCCCTAATTACTCTACCCGCATAGTGCTAAACTGGATGCGGTATTGTTTATTCTTTCTCACCAAGCAGCGCCTTATTGGCCTCGTTTTTTTTCTCTCGTCCTTTTTGTTGTATTTTCAGAGTAAAATTATTTTGTTGTTATTTTCCTCCCCGCTTTGTAAGGAAAAGAGGAAATTTTATGATTTAGGGGAACTTAACTTTTGGGCTTTTGTTTGCATCTCGCACGCCGCTCCATCAGGCGGCGCGGCCGGAGCGGATGTATGCGGCTATCATGCTCTACTTTTATTTATTCGCCCCAGGTTGCTTTCCATAATTGAAAAATCACGCCGAGTTTAAATCTCCGCGCGGTGCGGTATGGTGTGGCGTGGTGGTGGAGTAAGGGGGGGCACGTAACAGCTGCGGGAGAGGCACGGCGCGGTCCATTCCCCCCACCACCAAGCCTCGCAGCATCCTCGCCGAGGGGTGCATCTGACAGTGGTTCGCGGAAGGAAAGGAGGAAGAGGAAGTGCCAGACAAGACACGCGACCTTACGATGTCCAACAGGAAAAGCAAAATTTTGAATGCTGTGCCCTTATGCTATTTGATGCCATGTGATTGTAAGTGTTCAAAATATTCAGTTGCAGTGCTTTCAAGGCAGGAAGTGTACATATGAACTGCTGTCGAGACGCACATACTGTTAGGTATTTGTGTTTTACACTGCCAAGTGTTTAAATATGTATGATTCACTTGAATGTGTTGAGGGGGTTTAACGTTTTAGGCGTTTTGGACAGTTCACTTGTTCACTTTCCTGTCCGAAATGCACTCTGCTTTGGAAGTGAGCGCCACTGAAGAGTTTGAATACTTGAAAGAGAATAGCATACTTAGGGCAGAACATTCAACGTTATGCTTTTCTCGCTGGATACCTTTGAAGGTCTGGTGTCGGGTTTGGACCTGGTCTCCCCATCACCCATTCCCCGCGGCGAACCGTGAACCACTGTGTTATGCAATGCTAAATAGGTATTGTAGCAGCACCGGACTTCTGTGTGTATCGCTAAGTTTAGGTACAATTACAATGCTGTAACTAGACCAGATGTACTGTAACTTAATGTGTACTGCAAGTTGAAATATTGCATCTGTTATGCAGTTATGCACACAGAAGTCTAGTTACAATAATTTTCCTTAGAATTTCAGTGTGTCCATTTAGTGTGCGGGTGGTCGCAAGGTTGTTGGCACGTGCTAGAGCGAACCCTGTCCTGTCCTTCAGGCAAGTGGACGGGGGTGGGGGGAGGGGGCTGCCCAGTGGCCTGCAGGCGGGGCCGGTACGTCCCAAGGGCGTATGAGCTGCACGTCTCGCCGACACTGACCTCTCCCACGGGTCGGCCGTGCCCCCGGAGCCCCCTCTGTAGCCCCCCGCCCCCATGCACCACTCCACCTGCTCGAACACGCGTCCTGCTACACGACCTCCTCGTTCAGCATCGGCACCGCTCCGCCGAGACGGTAGCAGCACCGGGACCGACAAAAGCTTTCTGCTGCTTATCTACTTGATAGAGGCCCCTGCGGGGTGGAGCGGGGTGGTCTCCGCGCCAGCCCCTTGCCGCCACCCTCTTTCTTCTCCCTCTCCACCCACCGCGCATGCAGTGTGGTAGCAAACGGAAAAAGGCTCTTCCTTAAGTTAATACCGCACGGTGGGCGGGGCGGGTGGGCGCGAGCAGCAAGTACAAGATTAAAAAGCTGTCCGCCTGATGCGGAACTTGTTCCTCGTGCCCTGGACGACGACGGCCGCTGCCGTACGGCCTGGCTCCTTTACTCATCATTTACCTAACCCCCTCTTCAAACCCACATCCATCCATCTATCCATCTCAGCTTTCTGTCCATCTCTTTCACTCTCGCTCCGCCTCAATCCCTATCCCTCTCACCCGGCCCACCTTTAAAACGGCCTTTTAATTAATTCGCCTTTACAGGCGGGCTTCCCGCAAACCCCGCCTCCTCTCCTCCGCCGTACTCTTCCGCCCTCTCTCTCTCTCTCTCTCTCTCTCTGCCTCTTGCTTTCTATGCGTGATCGTGAGCGCGTCTCCCCGGGATCCGGGTTACCCTTGCGCTTGTCTTCGGGTTGTTAAAGTGGCATCCTGACAGGGTGACGCGGGGCGGGCTGTTCGGGGAACTGCCTTTCCTGTCCTCCACCTCAGTCCCCCCCATGCAGACCCGCACTGGGTGCGCTCCTCTCACAGTCCTCGTCGCCTCCCTCGCCGCCAGCAGGCGAAATATTTTGATGATCGCGAAATAAATGCAAATAAAAAAGGGGAAGCGGCGAGCCCCTGACGAGGGAGGGAGAAGACAGAAGGGAAAGAGAAAGAGAGTGGGAGAGTGGGAGTGAGAGTGAGTAAGTGAGAAAGAGAGAGGGAAAGAGAGCGCGGCGGAGTGACTGGCGGGTGTTTAATGAAAAGCCATGGGGAAAATTCTTTCCTTCTCCGTCCCGCTGACTGGAGGAGCAGGCCACACGATCTTCTGTCTCTGTCACTCGCACCGCAGGAGAGGAGAGGGAGAGAGACAGTGGGAGCGAGGGTGAGATTGTGAGAGAAATGGGGTGAGAGAGTAAGAGAGAGAGCTGTGTCGGGATGCGGCAGTCGCCGACGATCCCCAAGGATACGTCTGGAACGCCGAGGGCACTGCCCCCTCTCTCCCTCCCCCTCCTACCTCTCACCCTTGTTCCATCTCACCCTGAAAAAAAGAGGACCTTGAACGCCAGAACACGGCCGCTGTCGATTCCAGGAAATGAGAAGATGAAATAAATTGGAGGAGCAGGGGTGCGAGAAATCAGAAGATAGGGAGAAGGGGGGGGGGGGTCTATCTTACAGCGGAGGAGCGAAACTCATCAGTGACCTCGAAATTCATGAAATGGTAAAATACGTGGTCGTCATAGCGCATCAACCGTCCTTTCAGCACGCAACCCTCTAATTATTTTTCCATTTTCCAGGATTAAAACTCTCTGGAAAAAAGCGTCTGACATTTGTTTTTATGGTATTTTTTCAGGTTCCAAGTACCTGTCGAGTCTCAACGACATCAACAAGTCGGAACACAAGTCGCTGGACGCTGGTGGTAAAGGTCCAAGACAAGAATGGCCGCCGAGCACAGCATGTGAGTAACACTGCAAAAAAAAAATATAAAGTAAATGTAATGTGGATGGGAGAGAGAGAGAGATAGAGAGACAGACCGACTGGGTGAGGCAGGCAGGAATATGTGATGAGGGGACGCCCCACTCGCCACCCTCGCCCCGCTGCGTGCATTGCCCACCTCAGCCGTAGGCTCGTGGTCTCTGCTCCACTTTCCCTCCCCGCTCCCTTTATTTTCTCGGCTGTCACTCCCGCTCTCCCACCTTTGCCTCTCCGTGGAATCTCTTCTCGCATTCCCGCTGTCTCCTGTGCCTGCCACTCTCCTCGCCCGCTCTAGCTCTCCCTCCCGCAGCCACGCGCGCCGCCTCCACCGGTCAGCGCTGAACGCCTTTTTGCGACACACTCCCTCGCGGGGATACAAGGCTCCTGGGCCGGGTAAAGAATTGCGTTCCCTCATGCCCTTCTCTCTCTCTCTTCTCGCGGGGCCACTTGTTGAGCGGGAGGAGGGCGGGGCGCGGGCGGCGGCGGCGGGAGGGGGGCGCTCCGGAACACCAGGCAACAAGTGGCTCGGCCAGGGTGTCATGGCGGAGCAAGAGAGAGAGAGAGACAGAGAGAGAGAGATAGAGAGGTGTTGCAAAATAAATCCCCGCGGATTAGGGCCCCCTGGCCGGGGCAGCGGTTACCCGGGCGGGGTAGGCCGGCCCGCCGCACAGCGGTGCGCGCGCGCTGCCTACGCGCCGGGCGGCCCGACCGCCTCACCGCCACTTAGTTAATGCGCCTCTTTCACGGCGGCATTCTCGCCGCCTCTGCTGGTTATTCCTCTACTTCCGCCGTCGCTCTTCTTTCGCTCTTTTCAAATTGCTTTTTTTTTGCAATGTATTTTTCCCCTCTTCACGAAAACTCAGGTAGCCGCGACTGCTGATCACTTTTTCGCCTCAAGGTAAAAAGAGGCAATTTCCCATCGAGCAATCTGACTAAGCGACAACGCCCCCTCCAACCCACTATACCCCGCTCCGCGTGACCCCGCTGCCGCCACCCCCGCTCATGAACTTGTCACTGCGACCGCCACCCACCGCCACACCTTTGAACGTTCGACCCGCAGCAGCAGCCGCCGCCGCCACTCTCCGGCCGGGCCGGGAGCCTGGGTCCCGAGGACTCATCCATCATACTGGAGGGGGTGGGGCTTAATCCAGGATATGAGACGAGCCCACACCCTTTTGATGCCCCCTCTTAAAGGCGCGCTACGGAGAGACGCTGTGACGACAGCCCCGGCAGTACCCACCAGACCCAGCAGAGTATCTGCAGCGCTCTGTAGCCATGGCAAAACCAGCAGTCGAGTCAGTTCACGTCAGAGTACCCGCTGTCCTCTGGCAGTTCCTTACCTTCAGTCCCGGTAGTACAGGCAGCCTCGGCGCACTCTTTTAGGGGATATGCAGGATCGAGGGGTGGGCGACTTGAATTTTTCGTGTACACAGGAGTACGGAGTACACGGAGTATAGTCGGAGAACACTGAGTA